CCAGGCGGGTCTCGAACCCGCAGGTTCAGGCAATCCACTCACCTCAACCTCCCAAAGGCGTGGGATTACAGGCTGAGCCACCAAGCCCGGTTTACAAATATTCTTAAAACTAGAAAGTGGTGGAGCTGAGATAGAATTAAAGTGTGACAGTACTCTTTTCACCACAGCCATGAGGAAAGTTATTGCATCTCTTTGAGATTAGTTTTCTTTTTTTTTTTAGTTGGAGTCTCACTCTCTCTGTCGCCCAGACTGGAGTGCAGTGGCCGCTCCTGGCCACCGCAGCCTTGGCCTGCTGGGCTCCAGCGATCCTTCCACCTCAGAATTCCAAGTAACTGGAACTACAGGCACGCGCTACCACACTCGGCTAATTTTTTGATTTATTGTAGAGATGAGGTCTCACCAAGTTGCCCAGGTGGGTCTCGAACCCGTGGGCTCAGGCAATCCATTCACCTCAGCCTCCCAAGGCTGAGCCACCGAGCTCGGCTAAGACTAGTTTTCTTATCTCTGAATGAGAATGATACCACAAGTAGCAGAGAGTGGTTTTAGGTTTACTACTCTCCATAACAGAGAAAATAAGCAGAATACTTAAAATCACTGAAAAATATGAATTCTCTCTTTTATAGATCTTCCTGATAGTCCTCTAATATTCATGGCTGCCAGAATCCGGGGTTCTCTTTATCAAAATTACAACTCCTTGTTGGCTAAGGATTACTATTTCTGTTCTTTTCTTTTTCAGGTCAGTTCAGAAGTTTCTTCAAATGAATCAAAAAATATGTACTGTCTGTCTCTGAAAAAAATACATGAAAAGAAAGATTCTTCTTGATAGAAAGAACAAAATACCTTATTAAGGTTCTCAATGATGTATTGTGATGGAGGGTAAGAGGAAGTAAAGGGGAAAAGGCAATTTCAGTAAAAGAGCATAGGGCAGAAAATATACAGATCAGCCAAGGTTAACATTCTAGACTGCTTACATTTTATTTTCTCACTTGTGCATAGTCTCCCTGTTGTCAAGAGGACATAAAAGGAACTACTACATCTGGTATAAGAGAATATATTTTTTAAAAAAATTTTTTTTAGACAATCTCACTGTTGCCCAGGCTGGAGTGCAATGACACACTCATGGCCACAGCAACCTTGACTTGCTGGGCTCAGGCGATCCTTCTGCCTCAGCCTTTCAGTAGCTGGAACCACAGACGCATGCCACCATGTCTAGCTCATTTGTTGATTGATTGTAGAGATGAAGTCTTACCAAGTTACCTAGGCTGGTCTCAAACTCCTGGGCTCAGGCAATCCTCTCCTTGGCCTCCCAAAATGCTGGAATTACCGTCAGGAGCCACCATGCCCCGCCTCATACAGTTTTGTTTTGTTTTTTTGAGTTGGAGTCTCACTCGGTCGCCCAGACTGGAGTGCAGTGGCCGCTCCCGGCCGCCGCAGCCTCGACCTGCTGGGCTCCGG